TTCTTGTAGAAGACGTTAATACCTAAAACTTCTCTATAAAATTTTTTTCTCTAGTATTAATAATAAATAAAATTGTTTATTGCAAAAATATTTTCTTTATCGTAGCGAGAAGAATTTCAGACGAAAGTTGTAGCTCCAGCTGTCATCGTTATCTATTGCCTATAAAGCCAAACTCGTCGGTGGGCCGTTATAGCCATTTACAGACTTCCTCGGTGCCGATTACCACCAAAAAGAGCGATTGCTGACTTTAATAATATTTCCTCGGTGCGATAGGCAAGAATATGTTGTAACGATACGCGAGACGCGGCGAGTTTGGAAATAAGAAGCTTCTCGAGACGTACCTATAGGCGAGACGGCGCGTACGGTTGGTCGGGGAGGGTGGCGGGTTTAGGAAAGGGAGTCAGATTGCCCCGGATATTATTATAATAAAGCAGGAAATTGCCTCGCGCGCTAAATACGTAGGTAGAGGTACGTGCGCGGATCGCGCGGATCGCGCATCGCGATATCATCGCCGGATTATTGTAATTACACGTTCCGAACGTGTAGAAAAAACGGGCCGCGATATCATTACGAGTTAGAAAATTTCACGCGATGCAATTCCGTTATTATCCGCGAAAGATAAATGTTGCCTGGATTTAATCTCTGGCCTCAGAGATCGCGGATGACCGCCGCGGAGATAGAAAACATTTCGGAAATCTTTGGAATTTCTCTTATCGATACGAATCTTCCCTCCGTGCCTGGATAATCTTATCACGATCATATCACGATCGACAGATGCACAGCTGTGCTAATAACCGTTTCCTATTACCATTAATCGGGAATCAATTAATTGACGAATTCGATGAAAAACAACTTCTTCATGTTATTTACAATTGAGAAGTTAGGGCAATAAGAAAAATTTTTGTTACAGATTATTCCTTATTTGAAACCATTTGTATCATGCTATGAAGCTTCCCCATAACATAAAAAGTAGGATAGATATTTAGGTGGCCTCCTTTAGCTGAGACACCCTATATAAATATTTACGTCGTTTTCACCATTGCGATTCTTTGTAATCATAGAAAAATACCGAAATCATGAAAAAGTGCACGAGGTAGTTTTATCAAACGTTCGACGTTTCAAAGGAGAAGCCGCAGCGGTGCGTCATGGCATCACTTCCGGTCGTTTAGAAGATTCTGAGGCACGGCGGTTTTTCTAAACGAACGTCTCGCGCAGTCGGTTATGGCTAGCTCTACGATCAGGTGAATCCGTTTAATACCGGTGGTCCAACGGGAAACCACTTCAAAGGATATATCGCGTCAAAGCAGAGGCGGTTTTCATTACTTTATGTACCTTTACTTACGACCCCTGCCCGTTTATTGCAGACACCGCGCGCCTCGTTCGGATATATTTAGTCGCCGAATGCGTCGGTCTTATCAACCATTCTCTTCCTCCCACATCCAGTAACCGACGTAGCATCCTCATCGCTGTTAGAACTCGAGGCTTGGTTCTCATCTGTCTGTCTT